ATATATATATATAAAGCTGTGCTAGATTTCTTTTTGAGTCAAATAAATATTAAGTATTTTTTTTYCTTAGGGTGACCTCAGTGAATGTTACTCTAAAGCAGAAAGAAGGCCGCCTATCGAGCAGCAGCATGGCAGCACTGAATACACAGTTAACAGCCGACATCTGAGCATTTCAAGGGGCACGCAACGTAACATCAACGTGATTGTTTATGGTGCGTTTTCAACCTACATCAGACATAATGTTTAATTCATTATTATTGAGTMCTACAGTGGACCATTCCTTTTTCCCTGTTTCSAAGATTTACTGATTAAAACTGTATTTACAGGCAAGACTGTGCCTGGTTTYATCAAATACAGCATTCCAACATCAGGTCCTGACAGCGCAGCCACAGTTGACCCTCCAGCTGTCCCATCGTGCAGCATCTCTCCATCCTCAGGAACTGTGTTTGATGCTTTCAAAATTACCTGCATGGCAACATCTTTCTGCTCTACCGGCTGTCTTTACTGTTTTAAAACCAACACAGGTGGCATTATGTTTCACTGCTGTCATTACAAATGTCAAACAAATGTGTGTTACAAATGAGTATTATTTCATTTGCATGCAGAATGTAGATGGCAATTTAAGAAGCAAAGTTTTAGTTAAAATAGCAGAAATAACCCGATTGAATTGTTTTGTGTTTAAGATAAACCTCTTGGGTGCAGTGACACAAATGAGGTRAAATCAGTTTTCCTGCCTCTGGGAGACGAGACCAGCAATTACAGTTTGTCTGTGGTGGTGACCATGAAAAATAAGAATGCAACAATYAAAACCACTGTTGACACYCAGGTCTGTTGTGTTCTATTGTTGYGTCCTAAAAAGGACAGAAACGACTCTTCTTGATGAAAAATACTGAAAAACGTGTTTATCTTTGWCAAGGTACGAAAAAGTAACTCCAGCGCCTCCATGAAAACTCTGCAGTCTGCAGTGGAGGAGACTGTAAACCAGCTAGAGCAGCAAGGCCTGCTCTCTGGTGAGAGGCTTGGACAAATATTCACTTCAGTGTCTGACATGTTAAACTTGGAGGCTGGCCAAGATCAGAAGGAAGATCGGTCAAAGGTAAGCGATCAACACTCTAAGAATAGAACACTTTTGCAATGTTTGTGATGCCTTCAGCTTGGCCCGATGAAGCACAGAGAACTGGGATGTGAATGAGGATGTTTTTGTGTTWCAGCTTAGAGAGCAGATGTTGACGAAAATGACAGGGGTTTTAACGGATTCCCCCAGCAACACAACCCAGGAAGTGCAAATGACGGCCAAGGCTGTGGCTGGACTCACACAGATCTCAGATGAGCTCACACCTGCTGCTCAGGTACTATCAAAACAACACGTTTCCTGTTGATATAATGATGTCTATTAAAAAAAAAGTTTGTTTTAAACACAATCAGTAACACAGCCATGCTTTTACTAAAGGTTACAGGATTACAAACAAGAATTTGGCATAAAGTATCAAATATACTCACATTTTTAACAGTTATGAATCAAAAATTGGTCTATGAATCCATTGAAGCACTTACAAACATCTATGCCTGCCTCTGAGTCGTTTAAATGACCTCAATAAGACCAGCTACCTACATTTTCACAAGCAACAAGCAACTGAAATCAATCGGAGGAATTTACTTTCTGAGAGTCTCTTTTTATCAACTTGAGTGGATTTTGGAGAAATCCATCCTGAGGGCAAAAGCAAGAACTTTTCATTGATTTCTGAATCGTGTGTGAGCTGAACAAAGTTTAAGAAAAGAACGACAGTACAAAAGTGAAGTCTATGGACTTTACAAGTGATAAAACAGATTTAAAGAGAACCTATCATGGTTCTTTGAACAAATAAGGATACATCTATGGGCTACACAAAACATGATCATTAGATGTAATACACAAAATCATTTTCGAGATTTCACCTGGTCAGTTCTGCCTGTTCTGAGTGGCCAATCCAGGCGAGGGTTTAGGAGGGACAGACTAGAGCGTCCAACCGAAGTCAGACGCCTTGGTCCCAGGGGAGGTCGACGTGCATCCGTTGCTACTCGCTTCCTCAGYCCTCGATCATGGCCGCACGCTGTTATTTAACATCACTATGTKCTAAATTACAAATCATGTTCATGTCAAAMAGCAATACAAAACACAAGACATCACTTACATCACCATCTGTTATGATCTGTGTTTATGTTTTATTTTGGTTTTCTGTCTTGTCTCCCTCTGTTTTCCTCTTCCTGCCTGCCTTAGCTCCAGCCCCGCCCACTCACACCTGCTCCTCATGTTTATCTCCCAGGTGTTTCTTGTTTCTGCCCATTAGTTCTCCTTTATATTCTGTTCTGTTTCCTCTGTTTGTTTCCTGTTCATGTCATTGTTTCAAGCCAAGCCTAAGTATCTTGTTTATTGCAATGCCAGCACTTTTGTTTTTGCTTTAATAAACCTTTTTTCAACTTATTTTTCCCCACCCTGACTCAGTCCTGCATCTGGGGTTCAAACCAACCAAGCCAATCATAACACCATCGCCTGCAGATTTGTGACRAACAGTATTGACAGAAGTTTTCCTTCAGTTGAAAGTCTTTGGGCACGTCCTGCTATGGACCTACTGTTAAAAGTTTTCAAATGAGTCCATCGTGAAATTTTTTGCACAGACTACAACTTTCTTTAGAAATATCTCCGGGACATTACCAAAAAATAATTAAAAATTAAGCCACACATCTCTGTTCTCTGTGACTGTTGTTAAAACAACAGAACAAATGCGGTCTTCCTGTGATGGAGTCTCCGCTTGGGTTACCAGGTGAGGGGCTGGGCTTTCTTATGTGTTGCTAGGCTACCTGGATTGTGATGTAACAATCTGCAGGTTTTTTAAACAGATCATTTACTGACATTAACAAAACATTTACAAATTGTCAAAACACAGACACTTTTTGGCACTTGGACTGTTTCTGGAAGCAGACCCAAAATGTTGCATTAAAAGTTGTAACAAACTGAATTTTGCATAATAGGTCCCCTTTAAATGAATACACCACTAGGCTGAGTGTCACATTTTGGAAAGATTTTGACTATAATACAATCTGATGCAACAAAAGATTTAAATAAATAAATAAAAACAGACCACAATATGAACGCATACCCTTTTCTGCTGGTGTTATTTGCTCATTAGTATGTCAAACACAGATCAATAACGTTTGTTTTGTTTTTCTTTATTTTCTCCTCAGGAAGAAGCAGGCTCTTTACTAGTAAACCTCAGCTCCTCCCTGAAGACGATAAGTGTCCATCAGCTCAGCAGGGGAGATGAAGATGAAGTCGTGCWTGCAGCCACGCCAATAGTTGAAGCAGCCAGTAATATTTTGAATGTTTCATCAAATGTACAAACAAAACTTTAAATACAGTATATCACGGCATCTAATTCCACTGTTCTCTGTGGCACCTAACAAATATGTTGTGATGTGTTATCCTCAGAAAAAAGTCTCAGATTTCCTCCTGACTGGGATCAATAACATTCAGAGTGCTTTGCTAAATAATAAAAAGGTGGATGGACAACCTGCCATCATTGATTCTGGTCAGATCAGTGTGTATGTTAACAGGTATGGGTTTAATGGCACTTGTTAGAATGTAAAGTTAAAAATAAGTTCAGCCTTTATTTCCTGAATTTGCTCTGATTCTGTCTCCTGCAGAATGACATCTGAAGACATGCGAATGCAACAGATAAATGTCCAGAAGAAAAGTTCCTCCAAATTTTCATTCCCTTCACTTCCGGTTGATGTTGTCTCGTTGGAGGAGCCAGTGGATATCAGAGTAATGAACACTTTTTTGAAAAAAAAAAAAAAATATATATATATATATATATAAAACATAAACACAACCCGAGAAACAAAAGGTTTTTTTGGTGACAGTGTTCTTAGATTATGCTTTTAGTTTTAAGATACAAGTATGTTTTATTCACATGTCAAATATACATTAATGAAAAATCGACATAATTATTATACAGTACATGTCTTCTAGATGATGAGTTTAGACAAGAACCCATATTCATGGAAGGAGGAAAACATCACAGGAACTGTGGGATCTCTTTCGCTCACTAGAATGAACGGCACCATCATACCTGTTGAGAACTTACCAGAAGAAATCGAAGTAATATTTCACGTTTCTCTTGACACTTCTGGATACTTTACTTTTTTTTTCAGATCAACATCTTTTCTGGCCTTTCAGATTCTTCTGCCAAGACTTGATGTTGAGCAAGAGAGCAGTACAGTCCTTGACCTTGCCAATTTCAGCACGCTAATGATCGACGTACCGTCATCCGAGGTGACACTGGTGCTGAAAATGGAGCCATCTGAAGATATATCTTTTTTGGTATTCCTGGGATATCAAAATTATCCCAATGCTGAGAGCAATGTAGCCAAAACTCAAATCCCTTTAGAGAACACAAATGAAGGTAAATATTGAAAATACAAGTTTTGGGTTTGTCGTAATCATATACTTAGCACAAAACAGTAAGTGAATGTGTGTGTGGTAGATTATTTTTTTGTTGTAACAATGGAAATAAATCAGTCACCTGATTGGCAGCACCCAGGGCCACCAAAAGAGCAAAACAAAGTGTTAGCAACAACAAAACATGACTTTTTGCAATGGCAGAGACGATTTGGTAAATTTTTCATGGTCATAACAGACACTCAGCTCTACTGCTCATCCCTCAAATGCACGTTTCTTACAAAAGTGGAACCATTAAAAAGATTGATTGCCAAAAAGCATTGTTCCAACAAAGAAATAACCCATTAAACAYAAGTTTCCTTAATTTTTGTGCTAAGTGTATATGAATGCATTTCAAGAAATTTAGGACATTTGTTAAACAAAAGCAGTCCTTTAACAGTTTTTTCTTTTTATCTAAAATTTAAAGTAAATATAYCTGTTAGTCTGCTTTATATTTTTTTCCTTTTCCAACAGCACATGCAGTATACTATATAATATAAACAACAGTAAAAATAATGCATGTATAACATGCCAAATAACTAAAGATCTCAACCCTGTAGAGATGAGCATCTGTCTGCAATAAAAGACATCAGTATCACAAARTTACAATTTGCTTCATTCAGACCTGTTAGTGTGTTTTGCATTTTATTGTGTCTGGCATTCCTCCACAGAGGAGAAATTTACCTGGGTGCTGAGTCCCAAAGATCGAACAGGAGATGTTGGAGTGCACTATCTTGTGATAAAACCAATTGTAGAGCCGGGCATCAAATCCATCAATGCCACTGTTGCSGTCACTTCCATTGCTGCTCAGTGCAAATATTGGAATGAAACCACATCATCTTGGAGTGAAGATGGCTGCAGAGTGAGCCAAAAAAAAAAACCATTGACATTGATTATTACAGCTTTATATTGTAAGATTTGATCAACCATTTTTCTGTTTTGCTACAGGTTGGACCACTCACCTCACCTTTGGTCACTCAGTGCCTCTGTAACCACCTAACTTTTTTCGGCAGCTCCTTCTTTGTCATGCCAAACTTGGTGGATGTGTCCCGTACTGCTGAACTTTTTGCTACGTTTGCTAACAATCCTGTGGTGGTGTGCTTTGTGGGGGCAATTTTTGCTGTTTATCTGCTGGTGGTTGTGTGGGCACGCAGGAAAGACATCCAGGATTTATCCAAGGTTTAGTCATTCACAGTGCATTATATTGTGATTTAGAGTTAGGAGGGGATTTTATGTCCTTTTGTACTATATTTACATTTTAAGTATAGATGATCTTCTCAGTTGACTATTTAGATTTTCCTGTACTGACCCACATGACCTTTTTTTTGTTAGTTATTATCAAATCTAAACATTTAATCACTTTAATATATTTCTATTGGCTTACAGGTCAAGATAACAGTTCTTGAGGACAATCACCCATTGGCAGAGTATGGTTACATGCTGACCATTAGTACAGGCCACCGCCATGGTGCAGCCACTTCCTCTCAGGTCTGTCAAAGTATTAAAGTATTTCACATTTTGACCCCCCACTTTCCATCCTGACGGACCACCTCCACATTAGGTAACCATAACTCTGACAGGAACAGAGGGGGAAAGTGAACCTCACCACCTGACAGAYCCTGAAAAGCCTGTGTTTGAGAGAGGCGGGGTGGACATGTTTCTGCTGACCACTCACTTTTCTCTTGGGGATCTGCAGAGCATAAGACTGTGGCATGACAACTCTGGAGAACACCCTGCATGGTGAGAATACAATATGCTGAGATTATGTTTGACTTTACTAAWGTATCATGTGTACTATTCATCCAATGTATACAGGTATGTCAATAAAGTAATGGTCCAGGATCTGGAAACTGGTCAGAAATGGCATTTCTTGTGTAACTCCTGGCTGGCTGTGGATGTGGCGGAGTGCACTCTTGACAGGGTCTTCTTTGTAGCCACAGAAACTGACTTGAAGAGATTTAGGTGAGTATTACACTATACAGACTATTTCTTATTTTGTCTTAAATTCAAGTTGGTAAAACCCTTGTTTCCCATATATTTGTAGTAACTTGTTTTTCATGAAGACAGCCAAGGATTTTCGAGATGGCCACATCTGGTTTTCCGTCATCAGTCGACCTCCCTGTAGCACTTTCACACGTGTACAGCGAGTGTCCTGCTGTTTTTCCCTACTGCTGTGCACCATGCTGACAAGCATTATGTTTTGGGGCATTCCCATAGACCCCTCTGAACAAACTATGGACCTAGGTAGGTGGTAGTGTGAGTTATTCTGAGTTTCATAAACCAAATGATTAATTTAGTTTAGTGTATTTTAAAAAATGTTTTCTTGGTAATCTGTGTTAGCAAATGAGAGGTTTTCAAATAAATAAAAATAATATTTTCATCAAATTTATAAAGACTTTACCTTCTAGGTCACATCGAGTTCACATGGCAGCAAGTTATGGTTGGAATTCAAAGTTCGATCATCATGTTTCCCATCAATCTCCTTATTGTGAGCATCTTCAGAAACACTCGCCCTCGAGAGAAAACTGCCAGAACAGACGGGTCCAAACAGGGGACCACTGTTAGAGTTTCCCCCTCACAAACTTCATCCCCTCAGAAGGAGGTGAAGGAGATCACTCCAGACACTGTGATCAAGGTGACACGACAGACACCCTGAGACTTCCCACAGTGAAGTCTGTTCATGTCTCAACAGCTTTTTGTTTCCTCATTAGGACATTAAGAGAATTGCTCAGTCACTCTCAAAAACTACAAAGAGTGCGCTGCCGCATCTTGAGCTCCATCCTGGTCAGCAGACAGACATCAACACTCTACTGTCTGTGGTGGAGGACATCATTAGACAGCAGAATCGAGCAGCCGGGGATTTCTACAGCAACTCCAAGAAGGATTGTGCTATGATTCTCAGTTTAGGCTCAGTAAATCTTCATGGTAAACTACTCTTTTCAAAACTTTGTCTAATTATGTTTCAGTTTTTTGTGTGTTTGTAAAGAAGATAAAAACGTGAGTTATCCACTCTACATCTGTTTACATGAACAGAAAACAATGTGTGGGGAAACCCGGAGAAGACACCTGAGGAATTTCAGAAGAAGACCAACAACAGCCGGTGTCTATACAAGCAACTGCGTCATGTCGAGAAGGAGCTTGGTCTGCTGGGACCCTCTCGTTTCCCAAACACTGAGAGCTACAACAGGGCTATGCAGCAGGTTCAGGGAATGAAGAGACATTTGGAGTTCCACCTGTCCTCATCCAGCCTGGATGGAGATCAGTTCAGTCGCAGCCCCAGTCCCGAACAGAGGGTCGACGATGGTGCTCAGAAGAAGTGTTGCCAAGGAGGACTGCCATGGTGGTTTGTGTTTGTTGGGTGGACAATGGTGATTGCAACTAGTGGTGTGTCAGGATACTTCACCATGATGTATGGACTGACGTATGGGAAGGACCGCTCTATAAACTGGCTTGTCTCCATGTTGGTGTCCTTCTTTGAGAGTCTTTTTATTACCCAACCTCTGAAGGTACAAAATGACACGMAGGGCCAAATGAAAGATGTACAAAATTATTTCTAAATGGCAGATTGAACAGTTGTTACAGTTGCCTCACTGCAAGAAAGTCTAGAGTCACCTCCCGACCTTTCTGTTTAATTTGCATGTTTTCCCTGGGCATTGTGGGTTTCCTCTGGGCACTCCGATTTCTTCCCACAGACCAAAAACATGCAAATTAGGTTAATTGGTAAATTGTGAATGTACGCCACTTACATTCAAATATGGACCTGGGCTCTTTCTGTGCGGAGTTTGCATATTCTCCTTGTGCTTGCGTGGGTTTTCTCCGGGTACTCTGGTTTCCCCCACACCCAAAAACATGCACAATAGACCACCTTCAGGCCCAGGCCTCCCTTGAAAAAGAGATCTGAGATTTTAATGGGACTTGCCTGGATAAATAACGGTAATAAATAAATAAATAAATAAATAATTCTTGTTAAAAATATTAATTTACAAGGCTATTCTATATTTTCAGTACAGTTATTGCTGCTTAAAGGCAGCAGTATGTCTTGTTCCATCCTGCTCACTTAAAGGATCATGTCCTATACCTGTTAGTAAACTTTGTGACAAGACATCACGAAACTGATGATAAAAATGTAAAAGTTATGGTACCAAAAATGCTTAACAAGAACATCTAATTTAGCCATGTTTGAATTTTAACAGCAATAAATGTTACACAAATTACTATGATGTGATGTAATAATAAAGAACTGAAGTTTGAAAGTCTTTTCTCACAGGTTCTTGGATTTGCTGCTTTCTTTGCTCTGGTTCTGAAGAAAGTTGACCAGGAGGAGTTTGGAGAGCCTCAGATAGACGAGAACCTCAGAAATAAAAGTATGTGTTGTTGTTTTTATATATCTTTACATGCATTTTGTATTTAATAAAAATACAACAAACATCGATCCAAAATTTGTCTCTCAGATGATCCTGATGTAGTGCGAGCAGCAAGAAGAGACAGCACATGTAGCTACTATCAGCCACCACCTCCTACTGACATCGAGAAGATGAGAAGGAACATGATTAAAGAGCAAAAAGTCTTTGCCCTCATCAGAGAGATTCTTGGTGAAGTTACCATGTTAGATATCAGTAAACACAGGATATGGGCCATTTTGTGTTGCTAATGTACAATATTTGTTTGTGACACAGCCTACATGGGATTTATGTGGGTGTTGCTTCTGGTGGCATACGGTCAGCGGGACCCCAACGCTTATTTTCTGACCCGTCACATTCAACAAAGTTTCAGCAAAGGTGCCTCCAACTCCAAAAGTATTCAGGACGTGTTCACTTGGGCAAACACAACTCTATTGAGCAACCTTTTTGGGGATTACCCAGGTAATCATTCTGTGACAATATTGTCAAAAAAACTGCCTCACAAATGTGCAAATATTTGTCTGCTAAAGACAAAAAGCAAAATATGCTTTTTCTGACTTTAAATTTTGGTTAGTTTGAAAAGTAATGCAGAAAGTGAAAGCTCGTCCTGTTAGTTGAACTTTGACTCAATAACAGGCCACATTATTTTAAACCTCTTTTAAAAAACTTCAAATGTTGTTGGACCTTTGACTKTATTGGCTTTTATGGTTTTTGTTTTGTTAGATCTGGCTTTGATTTGTCCAGAGGTATATAGTAACAAAGTACATTTACTTTGTTACAATACTTGAGTAATTTTTTTTTTGAGGATCTGTATTTTATCACTCAGAACTTTTACTTTTACTTCATTGCATTCAAAACATAAAAATCACATTTTTACTTCTTTAATTTAAAATTTAACACCTTGTTACATGCTACAATTTTAAATATGACCAGGGCTCATCATGAAAGGAGTTGTTTACGCACTCTGAAAAATAAAGTTATTTTAAGTCAGCTGGTTCTACTAAACCAAGTTGAGTAAATGTAAAGCAATTTACAGAGAAATTGGAAAAATAATGCAAATTGCTCAACTTACTCAACTCAGTTTAGTGGAGCCATTGACACACTGTAACTTGGTTAAGTAAATTCAACACTTTGCTAGTGTTTGTGTAAAAGTACTTTTATTTTCTCCATTATTGTGAGCAGTTATTTGGCTTTTACTTAAATACAGTTCTTATCAATGAAATTCATTTTTACCAAAGTAATTTTCTGTTAAGGTATTTTAACTTAAACTTAGCTCTGGATTTTTCTAACTCTATATGAAATGAATTCATTAATCTTGAAGTCATTATTTTACACATTTTTTTTCAATCTGATTWTTTTTCACAGGATTCATCACCGATGGAAACTCAAAGCTGGTTGGTAACGCTCGTCTTCGCCAGGTGAGGGTGCAGAAAAACTCCTGCCGCATTCCTCGCTCCATGCAGCGGTCTGTGCCCGACTGTCACGCTCCATACTCGTGGGACTTGGAGGACATGGGCTCCTATGGGCCAGGCTGGATCCAATCTGTGGGCGATAATACGTCACTGGATCCTCACAGTCCATGGGTGTACAGGTCTCAAAGTAAACTGAGGGCTTATCCCATCTGGGGCAGAATGGCGCTCTACAGAGGAGGCGGGTTTGTGATGGATCTRGGCACAGATTTRCAGAACTCAACTAGGTAGAAATGATTTTCTTATTGAAACTGATCCATTTRAACAGCATGACACCTACTAATAATAATTTCATCCATGTGCCAATAGAATCCTTCGATATCTTTATGACAGTACTTGGCTTGACACGTACACACGAGCAATCTTTGTCGAGTTCACCGTGTACAATGCAAATGTTAACCTCTTCTGCATTGTCACACTCATGCTGGAGACTATGGCCACAGGTAAGCACAGAGCATGCATCAAAAAGAGCTTTACAATRAGATGTGTAATCTCCATAACGTTTGTCTACCAGGAGCTTTCCAGTTCCACAGTGAGCTTCAGAGCGTGCGTCTTTACCAGTCGACCGGTGGCCTCCACATCTTTGTCATGGCTTCTGAAATCGTCTACTTTCTCTTTGTCATCTATTACATGTTTGTTCAGGTGAGTAGCTTTACTGCTTTGAAACGTACATGATTTAGTTGCTCGTTTAAACACGTGACACAAACTTTTGTTTGTGTTGACAGGGAAAGCTAATGAGGAGAGAAAAGTGGGCATATTTCAAAAGTAAATGGAACCTAATTGAGTTGGGGATCATACTTCTCAGCTGGAGYGCACTCTCTGTCTTCATCAAGAGGACTTTACTGGGGAAGAGGGACATGAACTTTTATCAGAATAACAAAGACCAGTAAGTAGCAAGAAAAAGCCAAGTGCTTTTCTCGAATTTATTATGTCAATTTCCTGCTTATCATTGCCCTGCACATGAAAAAATTTGGTTCATATATCAAAAAGTTAGTTCTAATTTTTGTTTTCTAAAATACATGATTGATGGATTTCACTTTAAATATCTGCACATCAAGATACATTTTATGCAAATAAAACAAAACAAAAGAGGAATATTAAACAAAAACAAATGGTTTTTATCTTCTATCTGTCTCCAGATTTGCCAGTTTTTATGAGACGGCCCAGGCCGACGCAGTGCTTGGGTATCTAATTGCCTTTCTAGTTCTGCTGGCTACAGTCAAACTGTGGCACCTGCTGAGACTTAACCCAAAGCTGAACATGATTACAGCCACACTGCAGCGCGCTTGGACTGATATTTCAGGCTTCCTGGTGGTCATGACCATCATGTTCCTGGCCTACTCCATTGCTGTGAGAAGTTTCTCACGCTTAGCATTCACACTTTTCCAGAGTCCCTGCATTTTTTCTGTTTTATCTACATTTTGCGCAACAAACCACAATTAAAAGTGATTATTAACACAGAGATAACCTTTCTTTTTCAGTCTAACCTGATGTATGGGTGGAAGTTGTACTCCTACCGGACTTTGCTTGACGCTGCACAAACTATAGTCAGCTTGCAGCTTGGTATTTTTAACTATGAAGAGGTCAGTATGAGACTGTTAAAACTGTCCCACAGCAGATATTGGCAGCTAATCCTTCTTAAGTGCATTTCTTCTTTCTGATCCGTCAGGTTCTAAACTATAATCCGGTGCTTGGGGCTTTCTTCATTGGCTCCTGCATTGTTTTCATGACCTTTGTGGTGTTGAACCTCTTTATCTCTGTGATTCTTGTGGCGTTTACTCAAGAGCAGATCCATCACAAGGTAACTTATTCATAATGAGGCTGGAATGTCATAATTTTAATAAATTCACTTTTGAAAGCAGCCAACGTTAATCAATGTCTGTAAAAAGCTTAAAGTTTGTTACAGATTAAGTGAGATCAAATTAAGGTCATTGTATRATCTTTGAGTTAAAGCTAATTCTACTCGTTCTTACAGCCATCCGAAGAGGAGGAAATTGTTGACCTGATGTTGATGAAACTCTGCAGTTTGTTTGGACTTAAATTTAAGAAGCAAGTGGGTTACGGCCAAGCTGAAGGGCCCAGTTCATCTGCTTCAAATAGCAAACTCTTGACCATTTCTTCTCAAGAACTTGAGTGAAGTATGTGTTTATCCTAGTTTAATATAACAACCCCAGTCTGCTGTAACTTACCTGATTTTGTTGCGAAGTGTATGCTTTGTTACATAACATTAGTCCTTGCAAGTTAATCAGTAATGGTTATCTATACTACTCCAGATCTGTCACTATTGCATGCTAAGCTGCAACAGGTAATATCAACTAAGTGTAACGCCTGCGTCATTTAAGCTGCTTGCATTTAGAGTGCATATTTGTTAAATAAATGGATAGTTCTCGCAAAATGTGTTTTGCTAAACGAGTGCTACAATCTACAAAATGTAATATTATGTATGGTATGTAACCTAAGTGCATTGCTGTACATAGAYGTTGTAGCTAAAATACATCATTATATTTTGAGTTACTAATTGACTCAATGCTTGACAAACTAGATAAGTACTGAATAAAACTTATTTAAAATTGTTGCATTATTATTGCTGTGTTGTATTCATGTTAGTGAATTACACATGTGTATTTACTTACGCATTATGTTGTTTTGTGTAATGTCTGTTTAGTGCTTGATTTGTAATTTAACTTTTCTGTGTTGTTTTTTTAATTTTACATGTTTGTATTATTTTTTCCAGTTTACTCAAATATTTTAAAAAAAACATCTTCTCAGGGGTTCATATTAATTTAATCATTTGCTCAAACTAGGATGATTCAGTAAAAAGGGGAAAACAAGATTATTTTTGTTTCTCAACGTAAATCGTACGTGCTGCGTCACAGGTGTGGGCGTGACTCACCGCGTGAGCCGCTTTGCTCGGCCGTTGACAACAAACGTGAGTCGTAGGCGGTCCGAGGGTGGACTCGGACTGGCGACAGRGACAGTTAGCCCACGCTAAAACCCGGGTCACTAACTCTTCATTTCAGTACAAGTTTGACATTTTCTTGCGTCAAGCAGAAGATATTTCTCAGCTGTGACTCTGTGTGAGYGACTGGAGGTGTCCGGTTTCCAAAGCCGGAGGGAGTGCGATGCCCTCTGACTTTATTTCCCTTTTCAACGGGGGCCGCGACCTGAATTCTCCCAGAAGCTTGTTCTCCAAAGGTAACAACCACTTTCTTCTTCTGGCTGTCACTTTGTTTTTACTCTTTATTTGGTGTAAATATGTAACTTAACACCAACCTGTTTGGTGTGAGACCAGAGGCGACGTCATTCATCTCCCTCCTGTCACATGGCTTCTCTCTAAATGAAGTTGACTTTAGGGTAATGCACAAATATCATGGTCAGAAACTTGGTGTGCTTCTTCAAGTCTTGGGTTTTCACCGGGTTGAAGCCCTCTATTTCTGCGTGAGCACCGGTAAGRTCACTTTACTATTGCCAGACCAAAAAGAGTGCCGTTTCCCCACTTTTTACTGGTTTGAATAGGCCGTCAGTGTCCAACGCCCCCCCGCCAGGCAGTGCACAGGCTCTCACGTGTGCACTGCTGCACTGCTCCCAACGTGGCGCTAGAGGGACYGTTAACGAAAAACAACAACAAAAACAAACTCTGCTGAACTCGCAACACCAGGTGCAGCTTTACAAAACTGCACGCGTCTTGTTCTAACACTGTATTTGCTAAACAATTTACCTGTGAAAGAGGACACTTAAAACAAAAAGAAATGCCAGTTTCATTAATTTGATATATATTCTTGACAAAAAATGGCTTTCATTGATCACCTCTGTCATGTAGCTACTAGTCTCAGTCAATTGGTTGTGATTTGAAAAGTTTCAGAAAAATTTATTGTCACTCATTAATGACTTATGCTGGTTGATCTGAATTTCAAAWAGTGGTTGGGGATACAAGCTTCACCAAAACCAGTGATCTTTTCAGACATTCCTTCTGTCATTGGTTTGTATTATTTACACTAAATTTAAAATTAGTTAGCTCAGTAGATTTTGTGTAATCTAACTAATTTGAAGGTCAGTTGGAAGGCAGTTCTCTCATGGACAAAGCTGTATTTTACTTCTTTTTTTTTAAAATCTGGATTTGCAAGTTTTATGAAACCTGACCTAGTTTTCTTTGTGCTGCTATACTGACAGACAGACAAACAAACAAACAAACAAAAGAAGTGACGTATCTCCACCTCAGCTTCTATTTTTGTGAATGACCGAAAGACAAACGAAGCTGAAAACATAGCTCATCTGAGCAATTCATACTCAATTCATGAGCTGTCTAAATCAAGTGTTGTCAATTCAGTTGGACTTAAAAAATGTTCATTTACTTTTTTTTTTTTTTTTTTTTTTTTTTTTTTTTTTTTTTTTGTCATTTGATGTGCCAGTTCTTCATTCAACTTGAAAAAGTTAAATTTGAATATGTACTCACTCAGACACTGGGTGATTTCAAATACTTTATTGAGTTATTTTGAAGTATACCAATATTAATTTTGGTTTTCAAAATTTTGGTTAAAAAACATGTACTGCATTTATTCATAATACTAAAAATCATCCATAAAGTGGGGGTGAAGTATTATACACAGGTTATTGATGATTCGATTTTTTTATGCTTTTTAAACTCAAAAAATGATCGTACTATACTTGAGATCGTATTACACATGAATAAATATGGTAATTTCTTTTCTAAATATGCAGATTTTCTGAGGGTGAGAACGTGATACATTTATTGCTTATTCATATTTTTACTTTGCTAATCTCATTCAGTTGAGCTAATCTTTCAGTTTAATTTTCATTTCACTAATACACATTTAAATACACCAATGCTCTTATAATAACTGGTTCTACTTGTTAGTTGTCAATCAGTTATTTAGTATTCCAACTTTAGCATTGCAAAAATGTTGCTTGTTGTTTGCATTGGTGGAAAGATCACAGATCACAAGAGTTTATTATTTTATTTTATTGTTGTTTTTACTTTTGATGTTACAGCTCAGAAA